TCCGATCAGTCTATGAACTTCCTCTACTTCCAATATGATCAGTTCGGCTCATCTTACACATATTTATAGTGAATTGAAGGGTATGCATAATTAATTTGTCGGCCAAAGGTTTTGGGGAAAAAATTTTGATTCATGATTCGTTTTTCGATTACGATGTTGACTCGTGATTATGTCATGTACTTGTTAATAATTAGTATTTTGCAAAGAAAATACTTAATGCTGGTGTTTGCTCAGAAATTTGGTGGGTGGATGTAATTGAAATTTTAATGACAAAATCTGACCCTTAAAGAAATAAATTTTTAATTAATTACCCCTCGTTTAAAAAATATTGAGAAGTTAGATGTTAAAAAATATAAAATATTTTTAATCTTTTGAGGTTTAATCATTATTTTTTTAAAAAAAAATATTTCTATTAATGAATGACTTTATATCTATTGTAATATAAATAATAGAGGATAAATTTAAAAATATAGAATTAGTTTAAAAATAAGTAACTACTTTATTAAGAAGTAAATTTAGTTAAAAATATTTTATATTTTTTAAAGGAGGGAGTAGTAATTGCCTAAATTTAGGGAAATCTGTGTTTAAATAAATGCAAAAGGCAAATTTTATATGTTTTTTATTTGCAGAATGTCTTGGAAGCTTTCGCCTAATAACCTTGCGTGATGTGCGCGAATCGAAGGAAATCGTAAAAGATATATAGAATGTTAGATTTAATATTTCAATTTATATAAATAAATTATATTAAATAAAATAATGTGTGCGTACTTAAAAAAATTTAGTATCATTAGAGATAGCTTGATTACCTTGAGCATGGACAGATATACAATCCACAGAACCCCCGTAGTTCGCAGAGAGTTCAGAGATAATGAAGATAAATAAAAAACTATTGTGTATTGTGGTAATCGACTAATCAGCTTATAAGAACCAACTCAATAACCTCTTTAATAAATAAATAAATTAAATAATTTTATTATTTCTGACTTAGTCAGTTAAGAGATAGAGAATAATTGATAATTATAGGATTGTAAGTTAGGCCTCAATCCATTGGACTCACTTATGTGATTCGCCTATTATAATCCACATAAGATCATAAAAACTAATCTATTTAAACTTATTAATTAATATAAGTTTACAAATAAATATTTCAACATAAAAAATAAGTAGTATACATGTATCAAGGTAATGAAAAGAATTTGAATGGTGAACAAAACTGCTACGCACCCATAGATGCAATTAGTATTAGAGATGATAAGTGCTCCTACTCCAAGAGATTATACTATTTACTTATTCAATTAAGAAATAGGGTAAAAATAAATTGATCCCTAAATTATATATTTAAGAGTGTTTGAGATTTTAAATTTTTTTTTGTATAAGATTTTCTTAAACATTTTAAAAAAGTGTAATTTAATCCTTATCATTAATAAAAATTAACTATGACCATTACTTGATTAGAAAATAACAGGAAAGGATGATAGAATTTTCATGATCTTTATCTGTAATTTTTGGCCCATTTATTTTTTTTTGTAATTTTCATGTCATTTTTTGTTAGTTTTGAATCAATTAATAGTTAAAGTTAACTTTTATTAATAATATAAGCGAGAATATATTATTTTTAAAAGTTAAATAACATTACACAAAAGATAAATTAAAAAAAAATTGTGATTGCATAATAGGAAAAATCACACCTACATCCCATGGAAAAATTATAAATCAAAATACTAAGGAAACAATCAAAATACATAAGAAAGGACAGAATACTTGGACTTAAAAAAATACATTGAAAACTGAACAAAATAATAAAATTAAATTCAGTGATGTATGTTCGGGTTAAAAAAAATTCAGTGAGGCATGCAATTAAGTTTCAACTGACTCATTAGTCATTATGTTATATGTATTTTAGAAATTTGAAATAATAATTGACTGAACATTCAGGAAATCAGAAGATAAAATAGTATAAGAAAAAACTTATATATTCAATGTGCTTGTTTTCAATTAAATCAAGACTTGCGGATCTTGTATAAATTATTTATTCTATGCTAAAGTCTTGTTATTAATTTTATTAATATATTAAGATTCAATTTTTATGATTTGATAAATATATTAAGTATATAAGACTAAATATATAAGTCTTATTTAATAATATAATATTGGGATATGATATTATAATTTGGGAAATGTGAACTGAAAAAACCAGTGGAGATTACAACATCTCTTAACAATAGTAATTACTGGCTGGTAAAAAGAAAAAATAGCAATTACTTCGTGAAAACAATAAAATTTACACCGTTATTTTTTTTGGATACATCAACACGTTTATTTTCTTCTTTTCACCTTTCTTATTTGTTGGCCTGCAATGAGAGAATATTCGAGCTGTTGAAACCGAGAGGCGTAATTAGAGGCATACACCATTGTTTTTATTTATTAAAAATGTGAGAATTAATTTGGGCCCCATTATTATCCACTGATTAGGTTCTACATCCAACCCACAAGTCTTGGGACTCCTAAGTTGCGGCCCAAAATATTTCGGCCAGATTAAGGCCCAACTTTTATAAATGGGCTCCTGTAGTAAAACATGGACAAAAAAATATAAAATTATAAAATAATATAACTAATTATCACTAAAATATCATAAAATTTTAAAATAATATAATAATAAATTATTTCTATAAAAAATAAAAAATTAATAATCACTTTTTATTATTATAATCAAACATAAAATAATATTTATTTTTTTATAAAATCTTTGTAAAATATTTTTATATAAAACTTTTAAACTAAAATCACTTAATTTTTAATTTTAAACAAAAAAACCCATTGGCGCTCAATGTTCGAATCGTCTTCCTTCTCTCCCTTTTATACTCTTTCTTCTGCTTTCCCTCTTCTCATCTGCCTTATGTGGGACTCGCACCACATTGATATCATTATCAGCCTAGTACAAATGATAGCGAGACCAATGTGACACCAGAAATTTTCGCTTTTGTAACAGACTTCGAAAATTGTATGAACTTTCTTGTTCCTAGCAGAAAATTGCATGAACTTGCTTAATTATCACTTTCTGAAATAAAAGATAAAATTACATATACAAGCAAAGAAAAGTAGTTTAAGCTGTGTGTGTTCTTTTTATTTCTATGGTGGTTATTACATTTGTTTATGTTTTCCATACATTGACTTATCCCTTGGTCACGCGCCAACGTTCCTCTGCAAAATTTCATAGTAGATATCGCTACTTTCACATTTCTAATTGCTGTAAAAATTTTAGTTCATGGTATGTGAGATTGTTTTGTGCCTACTATTTGTTAAAATATGTACTGATGAAGAAAATGTGTGACACTCCCCTAGTCCACTATATCGGTCACATTTTAGAAGGAAAATGTAGCCTACAATAAAAGTCATTCAATAATGATAACTTTTCATTTTAAAATGAAGTTTTCAAAACACTCTTATCATAAAAGAAAATTAAAAGTACTTTCTTTACTATAGACAGAGTAATTTTTCTATAAAATATAAGAGAGAAAAAATAATATTATATTGATTTGATTACTATTTCTTTTTCATTTAAGGGTTAATTTTGAAATTTTATTTACAATTATTCTTTATACTTTTATTATATTGATATTAATGAATTGGTAGAAATAACTTATAAATAGGATTAGAGAGAGCATCAAACATTCTCTAATTACCTCTAAACATCAAATTATATTTTGGCAAATGAACAGCATAAGCATCAGTGACTAAAATGATTGCCATTGGGTGAAGGATATGGTTACTATTTGTTGTGCTTACTATGATTTTCATTAGCTTCGTCATCTAATAGTGACTAATATTATGCAAGTCACTTTTTGCCGAATGAAAACCGCCCTACTCTTGTCGCGCTTGTGTTTTGGGGGGGGGGGGGGGGAGTGAAATGAAACAAGATGTGAATCTTCTGGGAATATGTATACACTCACAACTTGGAAGTTCATGGAACTCATTATAAAACACACACACACACTGTCACACATATCAAAATATGTTGATGCATTTTAATGGCAAATTAGTAGTATGAATAGGTAGCAGAGTAGTTAGGAATTAATGAGGGCGAATGCATTCACAATGACAGTGCTTGCCATGGCATACATTTGCACCGCAAAATCCAGGCGGGCACTCCAAAACAGTCTTGCACCGACCCACCCCACATGCTTCTCCATTAATTACGACGTCCTTCTTCCCTTCTCTCTCCGTTACCATGCCTTTCCCACATTCTTCGTCTCCACTGCATAATTCCCTCGCAGCTGAACATCCTGTGCATATATTGCATATAATAATATCACCTCTGTGATTATAATATTCTAGTATTGTTGTTTAAGAGATTGAGATGAAGAGATCAGTTATACGTACCAATAAGGAGAAGCAAGAAAGCTAACTTGAGGGGAACTTGTTCCATGACTTTAATTATTTGAAGTAGCAAAGCTGTGGTATGAAAATTAGTCTCGAAGAGTTTAATTTTGCTTCTTCTTGCTTTCCAATTCCTAACATCGTCTATTGCCTTACATAGGGAAGCAAATGTATGTTATGGTTTTGAGGTTTGAACGATTAATGCAAAGCTGTTACTCGATTGTAGATTTCGTTAAAGGTTTCGAAGGCGTGTCTTGACGTTTTAATGGTGATAACGAAACTGACAAAGTCAAATCGTATCCCATCCAAATCCAATGCCTTTTACAAGAATTTTAAGCCACCTTTCGTTTATAAGAAAATCTATTGAAATTAAAGTAGTTAAAACTAATAAATCCTAATTTCAATTTTAACCTTCTTCAATCCGAAAAGGAGAGATAGAAATGATTAAATCTCAGTTGTGAAAAGAAGACCAAAATAATTTGGACCACCTAGTAGCTAGGCAGAAAAAAGATCCCATATTGTTTTAACTGGGCTCTCGGCCGAAGACATTTTAACTAAACAGTTGGCCCCAAACATTATACCTGAACATGTAACGAATTACTTAATCTTGGGCTTAGAATTGGACAGGGGCCGCGCGAACGCATGCCCCCACTACCACAAATTATGACGTAGGCTCCACCATTTAGGTAGACCTTAGATATGGGCCCCTCCAAAGTGCAATGGAAGTCCCTTATCTAAGCCATGGGCCTTCGTGATCACCCATTGACTCCGTCCAGGTAAGTATGTTCAAATGGTACTCCTTTGCTTCCTTTTATAGTCTCTCGTCCTCTCCCCAACTTTGCGTCTTCCCAATGTGGGACTCCAACCTTTGAATCCTCATGCAGTCGGCGTAATCTTGGCATTTCCGGTGCTTCTTTACAACACAATATGACACCAGAAAATTTGGAAACTTCACGTTTTGGAAAGAGGGTTTGAAAATTTACAGCAACTGAATGATGGATTTATGCAATGCAGCTCATTAATAAGCTAGAAAAGAAGTTAAAACCAGTGTGGAGTATTTCCATTACAATAAATAAATGCACTGTTTATCTTCAATATTGCAAGTCCTTGCACTGTACCTCGCGAAACGCGGAGACCCTCATCCCGCACCATTCTGAATTTACGACGTCGTTCTCTCCTTCCCGATGAGAAAAGCACGACTCAATATTACTGTATGTTCTTTTGAAATACTCGCCTTTACAAGGTGAAAATAAATACGGATCCTTTATTTTTTTTTATTTTAACAGATGTCCAACAGAATGTTCTAGCCTACAAACTCAAAACTTGTTGTCTGATGCAAAGCAAAAAATTTTCTACGTGAAAGCAAAATTGAGGCGGAGAGGAAGATACCGATGTGAAAACGTAGATTAGAGTCTAGACTCAAAATCGTGCAAAATTTATCTCTTATTTTCAATTCGGCTCGTCTTCTTTATATTTATTTAAGATAAAATATGTTATGTTGATGTTCTTAGCTATGAGTACAGTGCAATCTATTAGTCATCTTCTAGGAAAAATCGGTGATCTCTCATATATTAGCTAAAAAAAAATTATATTAAGTAGCTTTTTTTCAAAACAAAAAAAATACCCTGTTCCCTTCCAACTTTTTGAAATTTGTCTTTTTCAGAATCATATTTTTAAATAGGAGTAAATTTTTTTAAAAAATATTTAAAACTATTTTATAAAATAATACTTCCTCCGTTCCAAATTATAGGACACTTGTAAAAAAATTTATTTATCTCAAAATATAAGACACTTTAAATAAATTAAGATTTCATTAAATGTGTCAATTTCAATATTACCTTTTCTCTTTTTATAATTAATTTACATTCCTTTTCTTTTCAATATATTAATTAAATTATGGATATTTTTAAAAGTTTATATTTTTATTTTGAAAAGATAATATTATTAGGTGTATTTAATGATATTTATTGATATGTGAGATTCTGTCTAAAAGAATCTTATAATTTAAGATAAAGAAAGTAATTAAAAATTATCTGTATTTAATATTAGAAGCATTGCATAGGAGATCTGAAAATAAGAAGAAGCTTGACATTTAGACTGCAAGAATGGATTTCACCTTTGCCAACCTGCAATTCTGGACATAAGGGCAACCAGATCCCATAGATTGAAGATTTTTATTATTATCTATTATTTTTAGGCTGCCGATTTGTGGGCATGTGAGTCGTGATTTGCAAAACGTGATCCCAATCGCGTCACGTCAAATCTAATAATTATCTATAAAAAAAATCTACAGGGCACCCTTGAATTATTGAAGTCAACATGTAAAGCACGACAAATATTCCTCGTTTTTACAATTCTATTCATCCCAGTAACATGATGGGCATTAAATTTGAACACGTTTTTAATCAATATTTGAACCCTCGATCCCTTAAAGACTAACTCCATTATTGTATTCAATCTCATTGATGTCTTTTCTTCTTTGTCGTAGGTTATTTCTGATTAAATTATGGAGGGAAGGACCACCGAGCTCCGGATCAACCGGTAAGAAATTATCTCAACTTGAACAGTAATTTTAAATTCAAGCCTAAATATGCAAGTGTTAAAGATTAGATGCACAGGCAACAATACTACTGAATCACTAATGGCAAGGGCATTTGCGTTTTGGTTCTAAAAAAAAATTAAAATGTTTTGTTAGGAGAAAAGGTCTTTGCATAATGCTATTTTTTTTTTAAACAAAAAAGGAACTGCTCGGATCTCTATAAAAATGTAATAAAATAATTGCACAAAATTGTTGAAACAGTCAAAATGGACAGGAAAAAAATTATATCTTCTATTATATTATATTTTATAAAGTTTAATGGAGTTCACTGTTCATCAACTGTTTTTAAACAATAAATTGTAAAATAGGGTTGAGGTGCATTTTTTTCATATACTTTTAATTTCATTTGAAGAATGATGGACACTCATATTAATAAGTGTAACATTTTTTTGAAAATTATTTTTTAGATGAACAAAAATCTTTCTTTATTAGTGGTCTGTTAGTGATTTGCTTAACAGGAAAAGATTTTTGCTCATTTAAAAAATAATTTAAAAAAAAATACTTGATAGTATAGAATGTCTAACATTTCTCAAATAAAAGTATAGGGAAAATACAATTTAATCCTAATAATAATAACAATAATATTTTCAAATGAATTATAAAAAATGACCTCATAAGAAAAATAATAATGATTAAGTCTTTTAAATCTTTTAGGTCTTTTTTAATCAACAAATGGTCTTCTTCCAAAATATTGCACCATTTAAATTTAGTATTTTATATTTTTCAACTCTGTAATGAAAAGGAAGGAATAAACCTCCAAATAAATGAATAAAATTAATATTTTTTTGTTAAATTTATAACTCATTTTTTTAATTTTAAAAAATATAGAGACCTATAACTAAATTTGAGTAAATTATAAAAACCTAAAATTATGTTTTCTCTTAATAATGAAAATATCTATAATAATAAGCTTAAACATGCATGTGATTTCTTAGTATAAACTATAAAATATAATAAATATTTAATATCTATTATGTATAAAAGATTTGGATATTTCACCCATCAATGTCAGAGTGGAAGATATTATGATAGTTTAAATATGAAATTTTAGATTTGACTTCGTGTGGATGCATAAAATATCTTTAAAAGAGTCATCTCAAATTAGCTCAACCATTTTAAAAATATATGAACTCATCCCAAGATTAATGACTTGATAAGAACTTAAAAATATAACCCAATTTTTATGAGAAAAATGCAAGTACTGTGTATAGTTATTTAATTGTGTGTCACTCGTTGATAAATAGATTTTGAAACATGTAAACTAAGATAATTTGTTTCACTTTTACACATTTCTATTAAAATTTAGAATTTCATTTTCATGCTTGGAAATTAATCACAGCGAGTGTTAATTGAAAAGACCTAAAATTAAAGAATGTTGCAGACTTGCAGTTCATATATAAAAGCATCATCTTATTCTTTACCCAAAAAAAAAAAGAATCTAGTTATTAAAAAAATAAGAAAAAATATAGTTTTTGGTCTCCATAATTTTATAGTAATTCAATTTTAATTCTTTTATTTTTATGTTACTCTCCAAGTTCTTTAAGTTTTACCAGTCTATTATGTTTTTAAATATGACCATAATGACTTAAAAATGTTTAACGGTTACACAAGTTGCATGACTTTTGATGCCATTCTGTGTGGCAACTCATTTGGCATCCAAGATGTCATCATTCATGGCAATCAAGTCTAAAAAAAAATTACAGAAAGCTAAATTATTTAAATAAATTTTTAAAAACCTAAATAATACAATCCTAGTTAATTTAGGATTCTAAATGGACATATCATATCTTTAATAGATATATTTTATCTTTATTTGAATTTAAAACAAGATAAACTAATTTTCTAAATTTAAATATGAATTTAAAATAAGATAAACTAATTTTTAAAGTTTTAAAAAATAATATTCATTGAACTAACTGGACTTATGGACCTGAATATTTTGTTAGGTTCAATATGATAAAAGTTTTTATTGGATTCTTTAGAATTTTATGTCTCTTTAGAATTCGTTGATCACGTTGGAAATCCTTAATTAATAAATTTAAGAGTTTCTTTCCTTATTTTAACTTTGGATATAGTCATTGGTCCTCTAATGCCCTGTAATAAATTAAAGATAATAAATGTTAGATTCTAACTCATCTCTTGATTCCTATCAATTTTTTATATTGATTTATTGAAATTACAATGAGTTGTATAAAAAATAAATATAAGGTAACAAAAATAAGTAAGACATTAAATAAAAATCCTTAAACACATGATGAAGATGCTTCATAAGCAAGAAGATACGACACCTAGGATAGATACATTGTAAAATTAATAGTTATTTTGCTCATAAGATGTTTGTCTTATTTTTACCAATTCAACAATAAAATTAAAATGCTTAGGTACCTGCCTACAGATTTCATTCCTTCAATGAATATAAGGATTACCATTCCAAACAAATGAAACTTAAAAGTTTTGAAGCAACAAAAAAAAGAAGAAGATTAATATCAAAACACAATAAAAATATAGGAAAATTATATTTTCTTGAAAAAAAAACATTTATTCACATATTTTTTTAACACACCTAGCTAACCCTTCCTCACGTGAAGGGACCACAAATCTATGTTTCACGCACACACCACGCAGCTCACATTACACAACAATTCCCGGCATACACACATTTTGTTTCCTTTAATCCCATTGGGGTTTCATCCTTAACCTCTTGCTACAAGAGGTGGGATGGTAAATACTAATAGATGGCACGAGACCAAATGGTCATTTGCCAGTTATTCATATATAGTTATTGAGCATAGTTGAGTCTGTATAAAAACTAGGAAGACTAGTATGATCTATTGGAACGGTCTGTTGGAAGGACTTTAACACTACAGTTCAAAGGCCACAAAATATAGATAAGTTTTATTTTTATACTTAATTATCATAATACCCTTATAGACATTCATACATATAAAACCCTCCCTTTGGTCGCTGTTTTCATATAAGTTCCAAAGCCTCCACTGTTTTTAATTTCAAACTACTCTATCATATCATAAATATATCAATATAATTTATGTTTAAGAATTAAGATTCTTAATTAATAAATGTTATTTTTAGAATATTTTAGAAATATTTTAAAATAGACAGGAGTTCTTACGTAGTATTAAAAAAACAAGAAAGAAAGGAGTTCTTTCCACTAAAGCTAAACAGAA